GGGGGGGGGGGAGATGCGTCCTGCAAGCCCAATGAGGGCCTGGTGGCTGCCTGGTTGGAGCATGTACGGGAGGCAGCCCATCAGCATTTCTTTCTCAAAAAAATCAATAAGAACGTTCTCAGGTGAGGATTTTTAAAACGCAAATGTTTTTTATTTTTTACTTAACTCTAAATCTCACAAACTACTGCCAGGTTTCTTTTAAACAGATATATTAGATTTTAACAGCCCCTGGAAGGAGCAAGTGTAGCCCATGTGCTGACTGGAAACCATTCCCAGGGTTGGGGGTCGGGGGGTGGTCTGTCTGTTTGAAGAGTGTACTCCCCCCCCCACCCCCGCCGTGATGCCTGTGTGAGTGAGTGAACGTCAGAGCAGCAGAGGCCTGTGCCCCTGCTCCATCCTGTCTGTGCTGCAGGGAGGGTGAGTGGTGCAGCTCCGCCTTCTCATCAGTGACTGGCCTCTTGCCCTCCCACCAGGAGCCAGGTTTTAAAAGAGCAGCTTAGCATTCAGGCCGCAGAGAACTTTAACAAAGGGCCTCAGAACCCACCTCCTAGTAAAGCAGGTGGGCTTGTGTTTAAGCAGCTGTAGAAGATTCAGACAGACAGATTTCTAGTTTAACACAGGGTTGCATGTTGATGGCCTTGTCTCTGCTTCTCTCACCCCGGAGTCTGACCCAGGATTTCTCCTGTGGCTGTGCAGCTCCTTTCTTTCCACGGGAAATGCAGGTTTCCTGCTCCTTTTATGTTTAAAACTCTGCTTGGACACACCTGCCTCTCAGAGGGTTTAAATTCTCCTACAGCATCTCACAGTGGACTTGAATAGCACAGGCCTGCGGGCCCTCCGAGCAGTGACAGGCCCAGGCCCGGAGCTCTTCCCACCTGCTGGAATCACAGGCCAGACTAGAGAGTCAGCTGCTTCATAGACCCGCCCGGGGCTGCTCACTGGGAAGGCCCCTCAGCCCCCTCCTGAGATAGGAGTCCGCTTGAAAGTCTTTAGTGTCGGTGCTCAGCAGGTGTGGGCCCAAGGAGGACGCCCCCAGGTGTTGTGTGTGGGACCAGTACTACCAATGGCCTTGTATTATCTCAGTTACGAGTCTCAGGTGTTAAAGTGAATGTATTTCTTGATTGCTGAGCTCACTAGGATTCCATGGGCAATGTCCGCAGGGGCTGGCTTTGCCTCAGCAGAGCTTTCTCGGGCTCTGGTTGCACCCAGCCCAGCCTACTCTATTGTGAGTGTGGAGGGTGTGCCTGGTTCACAGAGCCACGGCCTCCCGGACCTGGAGCACAGCCCCAGTCACAGCCACCTCCTGGGTAGGTCCCCACAGTGCGGCCTTGAGCAGACTTCACTCTGGGAGCTCTTCTGAGGGAAAACCTGGTAAAATGTCAAGGTGTGTGACCACCTCACCTTTGTGATCTGTTACATTAATCTTAGGCAGAGTCTGGGGGAAAACGAAACCATTTGATGAGCTGAAGAGCAGCTCTTCGGGAGGAGCCGGCAGCTCCTGGCTGTCACTGAGGGGTCCCTTCCTGCTGGGACGTTCCAGGAGTAACTTGGAATGTGGTTACATGCTGATCTTTAGAATAACAATGTGTTGTTTTGAGGGTTTTAATTAAAATGATTCAATATAGAATTTTTAAACTGGCAAAATCAAACTGCTCTTGATTGTTTTTTTGAGTGGGTTGTCATAGAAACAGCACAAAAAGAATCTGGGTTTTTTTTCCAGATTTCTGCTTATTTCACGTCTTCCCAAAACAGTAATTTCTCCGAATGAACAAAAAACTAAACCAAAGATCCTGAGCCCGTTGTTAAAGGACCCTTGTTAAGGATTGTGACTCCGAGGGAGGGTCTTGAGTGGGAGTCGTGGGTGCCGGCGTCACAAGGTGTGGCTGTGTGCGGGGTCCTGGCACTGCAGGGGCAGGAGGGTCCTCCAGGCACATGAAAGGAAGAATAAATGTTAATGGGGGTTTGCATCCGGGAGATGTCATCACTGTAGGTTATTTAGCCTAAATTACCTTGAGGTGCTGAGGGGGGAGGTGTGGGCTTCGTGCCAGTGGAGGGAGAGCAGCCTTGTCCTTGGCTGTTGGCGCTTGGAGGCCATGAGTTCCACATGAGCGGAGACACTCCCCCTTCATTACGCGCAGGTGTCCTCCTGTTGCGTGACTCGCTTGGATTTCATTGCTGCTCCTCGCCTGACTGATAGGAGTAGCTGTGAGCGGAAGGTTCCCCAGGGACTAAAACAGGCAGGAGCAGAGGCAGGAAGGAGGCCATGGGCCTGAGTCAGGGTTGTGACAACTTGGGCCAGCACACAGCTCCCACCATGGAGTGAGCTTAGCTCTGCTGAGGCAGGTGCTGTGGGGCGGGAGACGTGAGAGTGTGAGGGAACAGGCCTCCAGGAGAACAGACAGGTGCCTGTCACCCACACGCTGGCTGAGTCCCATGGCAGCCTTGGCCGAAGGGCTACCCTGCGACCAGTCAGCAGGACTGAAATGCCTGTTCCTCTGCCAGGTCACGGTCCCGTTCCCCTCGGAGAAGAGCTCACTCTCCCGAGAGACGGAGGGAAGAAAGAAGCGTACCCACCGCCTACCGGGTGAGCAACAGCCCGGGCGTCAGCAGGAAGCGGACCCGGTCCAGGTAGGCATCTGTGTCTCCTCGACACAGTCTGCGGGTTAAATAAAACATGCTTAGCTGTAATGGGAACTGTGTGTAGGAGGGGGACTGTCCGTGGCAAAATCCCCTCTCCCTCAGAGCCGCACCCTCACTGACCTGCTCTTCTTCCAGGAGCCCTCACGAGAAGAAGAAGAAGCGGAGCTCACGGTCGCGGACCAAGTCCAAGGCCGAGTCCCGCTCAGCGTCCCCGAGCAAGCAGGCCCCGCGCCGGCACTCTGCACACTCGGCCAGCATCTCTCCTGTGGAGAGCCGGGGCTCCAGCCAGGAACGCTCCAGGTAACCCTCAGGACACATCAGTGAGCAGAGGACAGCATGGGTGTCGGGAGGACAGCCAGCCAGGCTTTGGGAGCGAGGTTCCCCCAACCCTCCCCTCGGGCAATGGAGTCACTGACTTGCCTCCACCCCTGGGATTCTCCTGACTTCAGCTGTGAGGGGTGTGGGGTGGGCCACCTGCTTCCACAGGACGAGGGGCAGTCCTCAGACGCCGGGGGAGGGGACATCCGAAGTTCGCCGATGTGGCCATAGCCGCTTTCCATGTTCTCGCAGCACCTGAGGGTGCTCCTGAGCTCACTGAGCGTCTGGGGTGGGGGCTGGCACTGGGGTCCCCATGGCGGGGACCCAAACTCCCCATCCGCACATCATCCAAGCCTCAGACAGGCTGCAGTGACGTCCGTGTCCGTGCTGATGGTCACGTGGTCAGCCTGGTTGGCACATGTGGCGTCCCCACGCCTGTGAGGGTGGCTCCCCATGGGCAGGGCTGTGGTTGTCGGGAGGGAGGATCGTTGAATCTCGGTCACTCACTCTGGCTTATAATGACTTGTAAATGTTTTTTAATCTCTAAGCTCTGTCTGCTTTAGGGGCGTTTCTCAGGAAAAAGAGGGTCAGATCTCTTCAGCGATTGTTTCTTCCGTGCAGAGCAAAATAACTCAGGTGAAGTGGGGCGTCTGCCTCTCCTTTTGTGTAAAGGGCCCATTTCCTCATCCTGTGCCCTCATCTCACTGGTACTGACAGGGTCCCAGCTAGTCACCCAGGAGCTGGGGGTGTCGGCCTCGCCCGGACCTGTGTGTCCCCAAACCTCCCTTTGCTGGGGCCACCTCAGCTCCTGGGGCCACCCCGTCTTCCCAGGTCGTCCTCTGTCTCTGCCCACCAGCATTTTCATGAACTACACTGCCTGACTGCCTACCTCCCAAGTCTTAGTGGAGCTCATGTAGTCCCCCTGTGTCTCTGCCCACAGGACCTCATGGCCAAAGTCAGAGCGATGCTCGCCGCTTCCAAAAACATGCAGACCAGTGCCTCCTGAGACGTGGCTGGCGGCTGGGGTGTGGCGCCCACCTCTGCACGGACCCCACGGAGCGCCGTCCAGGCTCTTGGACGTCCGTGGACAGTGGTGGTTTTGTAAATTCATTTTTGATGACATTTTCGGTTTAAGATTTTTGACCAGCAGTCTCTTACCTGTATATTTGTAGATAATATCATGTTTCTGTGAAAATGTATTATCAAATAAAATGGGAAGAAAACACCTTTTCTAGCTACTGACTGTGGCGGCTCCTTCCTCGTTTGGCTTGTGAGTCTTCCCCACGTGTCGTCCCATTGATGCACCAGGGTCTAGCCCATTCTTTCTAACTTCAAGGCAGCGGTCTACCTCTTGGGTGTATCCCAGTGTGGCCAGTCAGGTCAGCCACCAGCTTCCGTAGCACATCAAGGGTTTAGGAAAGGTGCCCATTTCTCCAGTGGGACATGCCCCCCCCCAGGAGTCACTAGTGGGTACACGGTATAGGTGGGACCCCAGCCAACACCACCATACACATGGCCCTGGTTTAGCCAGTTAGCCCCGGAGGGACATTTGAGCAGTTTCTGGTATTTTTTTACTGTTTCCACGTGCATTCGCCTTCTTGCACAGACGGGCGTGTTTTTCTAGGACACACACTGGGAATGCTGGGCCCTAGAAAATGCAGTTCTTAAATTTTAATTGCTGCTCCCCAGTGGCCTTTGAGCTAGACTACACCAGCTGGTACTCGCTCCAGCAGCACCAGAGAGAGCCCTCACTCCCCGGACCCTCCTGGGCACACGACACATGGCTCCTTCCACGTGGCCCATCTGATGGGTGGAAAGCAGCCTCTTTCCTGGATTCTGGCCACGTTCAAACGCCAGAATTCAGTGGCAGGCTTGAAGGGAAGACAGCTGTGGTGCCACAGTCCCTCCGAGAAGTGACACATCCCGATGTCCGTGGTTCCAGCACCATTTGCCAGCCACCTCGGCCTATCAAGAGAACCCTGGCCTATCTGTAGGCCCTTCCTATGTCTGTGACCCTAGGCCACTGTCACTAGCCACATCTTGCCTCACCGCCCCTTGATGTTGGTCCCTCCATGGTGCCTCAGACAGCCCCTCAGCCGGGGTTCGCCCTCAGAGTCCTCAAATGCAGGCAGAACTGTTACACCATGTGGATCTACGCCTCTGCTGAGGCCCTTGATCCAGCCCTGCCTGCCATCCACCTTCCTGCTTCAACTTCACCTCCACTTCCTTGTCAGCACCTCCCTTCCTTTCCAGGTCAGTGCAGGTAGTGGGGCTCACTTCTGTCCCCCAGCCACATGGTTGGTTTGGGGATGGACACATGACCCACATTATCCAATGACGGCCCACCGTGGCTGGGCTTACCACGCTGGGTGGGTGCCCCTAGCTGCCCTGCAGGGCCCCTGCTGCCATCGGAGAGATCTTGCCTGAGGACCAAGCCCACAGAGGTGACGTCAGTGCGCCCTGGGATGTCCCAGTTTAATGAGCCCATAAATCCCCTTTTCCTTGACGGCCGCCAGGCTGAGCTGGGCCGCTGCCAGTGCCCGCGACGCGGTCCTGGTGCACGTGAGCAAAATGCGGGGATGTGCCCGGGAGGAGCCTCGCAGGCCCGGCGCCTCGCAGCTCGCCCGCCTTCCGTCACCGTAATGGGTTCGCGAGCAGGTGCAGCTCCAACGGGGCCGCGGAGGCTCAGGGAGAAACAGGCACGGGAAGAGCGAGGCCCCCGAAAGCGGGGACCGGGAGGAGGGATCTCTGCCTGGAACCCAGCCCTCAGCCCCTCAGACGGGGACGGAGACTCAGCGGAAGTGCGTGGGCCTCAGTTTCCCAGTCTGTAGAATGGGACATAAGTCCCAACAACAGCTGTGACTGGGCGCAGAGGGAGCCGCCGTAGCCCCGCAGGGAGGGAGCCCAATGCGAGGTGCGCGCGCGGCTGCATTGGGGCCCGGGAGCCCGCACAGCCTGCCCGGGACCCTTTGGCTGTGCGACCTCCAGCAAGTCACTGCACCTCTCTGGGCCTCGGTCTCCTCGTTCGAAACGGGAATGTTAGTTTTAAGCAGAGGATGTGAGAAGTGAACGCGATTAACACGGGAAGCTCCGAGCATGCGCCGGACTCGCACGCAGGAACTACCAAAAAGTCAGCCCCGCCCCGCCCCAAGCCCACGGTGACCACAGGCCGTCCGCCCTCGCTGGCCCCGCCAGAGACCCCTGCCCCTCCCAAACTTTCACCCCAGCG